TAATACCCTTTCTTTTTCCTTTGACTCTGTGCCCGTTGACTAGGTTTATGAAGGTAATTAGCAAGTTTGTGCTAAAAACCGGCTGTTCACGGTCGATTAGCATGAAAAACCACAAGGAACGGACCCAACTCGGTACACATGTGTTATTAACCCCAGGTTCATTTTGCGCCGGAATTGTCCTTTAAAGGACGGTGTGGTGGGCAGAACCATCCGACACGCAGCCTCCCTTGTCAGGCATTATACCTTAAATAATCTTTCTGTCCACCAGCTACAATGAATAAAATGCATAATACAGAATACACACAGCTTCAAGGTGATGGATTTTCATGATTATGGTACAAATAGCTTCAAATAGCAGAAACCACCACCACTGAGTGCTGAAGTCAGAGTTTGGCTCTCAAATGATTTCACTTTTTATAAATGATTGTTTCACTCAGTTTTTTTAGTGCTCATCCCATTTCAACTCCACCTAATCTCCACTCCTCTTGCAATTTAGGATTTTCTTGCTCCAGACAAAGATGAAGGGAGGAGGAGGGAGGTGTGAATGTAATTCAATATTTCAAAAACAACAAATCCAGGACAGGAGTGAATGAATGTTCCTCCCAAGTGGATCTGACAGTTTCCACTTGCGGCCAAGTGTTTGATGGTTCATCTGTCTGTCTTTGAGGAGCTGAAAACCACTAAAAGCTGCTTAATTGTGTTTTTGCTGGACAAACTCTCAATTTTTTTATACGTTATAAAATATTCTGAGTCACTGTGTTTTATGTGCCTGGCAACTCGTATCCAAAACATGTTTAAGGAACAGGTTCATCAGAAGGTGATTTATAGAACAGCAAAGTAAAGGCAGCCCTTTGCTTGTTGGAGTAGTATGGTAAAATTTATTCCAAGGTGGACAAAGAGGGAAAGAGCAAAATGCCAAAAATGACAGCAAGAACTTTGTAATTTTGCCTGTGGTAAGCTGCCATGATTGTACAGGTCAATAATCCCATAAGCAAGCGATAACAATTAGGCATATCAGATCAGTGTATCCTTAGTGCCACTCCAACTGTGGGTGGTCTAGTTTCCATACAACAGTAGAGAAGAGCAACTGCCTTTTCAACAAGCAGTTGTAAGTCCCAGTCCTCAAATACTCCTGACTCTCCACTGACACAGCTTATATAGTGGTGTGTTTCTTCATGGACATCAAGGCATCATAACATTTCACATGAACAACAGTCAGGTGCCATCACTGTGCGCAGCTTCCTGAAGTCTTTTTGTCACCATGAGGTTGCCAAGTTTGGTACCATTGTGCCAATACAGAGAACGAAAACAAAACCTGTGCAAAAAAACTGTATCTGGTAAGGCTGCCCTGAAAACTCGATGATTCGAATCATCTGCCGGGAAGACGCTGAGTCGACTTACAGAGCATCAGCTTGTTAGGCTGTACAAATCGAGTCTCAACATGATCACAAACCATAAAAGCTAACTGTGTTGGACGCAGAGAAGAGTGATAGTGATAACAATGGGAGCATGACGCTTGACAGCGGGGCAGCATCTGCTCCGACACTGTCTGGATGAACTTTCACTGAAGTCCCCTTTTGAACCAGACTGTAGCACAACCTCCTCTACTGCTATCCACTGTGATTGGCTGTCAGCAGTAGCCCAGCAGGAGAGACGGTCTACGGTGCGCTGTGAGTTTTTACATCACAGATGATGAAGAAAGGCATTAAAACATGAGGTAGACTATAACATGCTATTGTAGGCTAATATATGTAGGGGTTTAGTGTGGCACTGAACTGACAAAAAAGGAACGAAGAGTCGAATCTTTGAGTCGGGTACAGCCACAAGAGACGCACTGGGCGGATGGATACACTGGTGTTCGCCAAGAAACAGTTCCAGCACGTAACTCCTCCTAAAACACTGTTTGTGTACAGATTAAACAAAGAAGACACAGCATGTTCATTTGTGAGCTTTAGCTGTGTTGTTAAGTGTATTTTTAAACTTCGGACAGACCCAGGCTAGATTTTTCCAAATTTCCAATTATTACGTTAAGCTAGGCTATCCACATCCTGACTCCAGCTCTTTACTTAACTCCAACTCCAAAAGCTGTTGTTTCAAAGCTGTGAATTTCCAGGAATTCATCCAACAAAATGAAGGTCAGGGATTACAAAACTTGATGATTTATCACAGACCTAATGGACTCAGTAATAGCTACATACTATGGTTGTAATAACCTAGTCAAGTTTTGTTTCACCAAGTTCCGCCTCTCGCTATGATTGACAGGAAGTTTTGGGGTGCATTTAGCAAGGTGTACGTGACACAGAGAGAGAGCATGTGAAAGCCTCCATATTAAAGTAGATGCTCTGTCTAACAATGTTGAATTTCGAAAAGATTTAATGAGGTTGAGTAGTTGCCAGCTGAAAGTGGCCTAATCCTAATTAGCTGCAATTCACATGCCTCAGTCAGGTCTGTGAGAAGATCCAGTGAAAAGATCCCAGTAGATGGCGAGCCACTGAGCTTGAGTTCCTGGATCTACACTGCCACTGAAACAGCTGGATGAACTATCTGCCTCGTGGTATGTGACAGTCATTCTGACTGGTACCAGCTACGTCGAACACACAAACCCTTAAAGAGTGCATTCTGACTTATTAGACTTATCAAATCAGACCTTCACCTAAAGTTGAAACTGACTTTGACCAAAATGTTTTATCGGACACTGACTTGGAAAGTTATTGAAACTGTCTGGAAAATCCCACCTAAGGACAATTTAGGTTTAATTTTTCATAGTAATGTGAAAGGGGTGTAGGTTGCACTGTTTTGCCATTCATAAGCAAACTAAAAGCCTCACTAAAAGCACTTGCGATGTGTTAATGATTATTACACTCAAAACTCAAAGCTGCTCTCGAACCTAGAGTAAGGTGTACTTATCCAGGAGTGGGTTACGAAACAATTAAATAAAAAATCGCCTACAGCTTTATCAGTTAACCCGCACTTAAAAACATTAATATTGTGCAGCTTTCCAATCCTCCAGCAGCAGCAGATTACTGATGAATCCTAAAGCTTCTGTTAAAGAGGTGGTAGAGACCTTCATCTATAATCAACTGACTTCAACAACACTTTCTGTAATCCACAGTTTACTCTATTTTGGCAGTTCTTCATTTAACATAAGCTTCTCCTCCATCCTCTCATCACTCAGAACAGTGTTTGATGCTCGGCCGTCCCTCCCTTTCCCGTGGGACAAACAGGGACTATTGTTAAACTGTTTGGTCATGTGCCCTGTCCCCTCGCTGTATAACTCATTTGACTGATGGCTCCAGCACCACAAAACTGCAGATTTGCTCAGCAGGATAATGAAGAGCTGGCTGTGATGTCAGCCTCATTACAGTCATTATCCCAAATTAAACAAATGACTGTGACTGTAAACTGACAGAACTGCCTTTGTTGATTTATTGATTGCTTTAAGAGGTTTTTATAGAAGAGTATTTATTTTGTGCTACTGTGGGTGAAAATAAACTGAAAGTTTGTCTCTCTAAGGCAAATGAGTGGTAATCATTCAAGTTATCTTGCTGTAAGAACACAAAAGCATAATTAGCATAATTTTATGTCACCAAAATTGTATCTTTTGAGTGTACTCACCAATTTTAGTCTCTGGAAAGGTTGTAGCTTACAGTTACTGGATTCCCAGTAAGAGACCCAGTTTCACAAAAAAATCATATCATATCTTGTCAAAAATGTGTTTGAGTATACTGAGCGTACAGATCAGCAGTGGAGAAACGAGTGACCTGCAATGTTTTCTTCACAGGGTGTCTGGGCTCACCCTTGGAGTGGAAGCAGTTCACAGCTGATTCATTGTGTAATAAGGAGTCAGTTGCAGTGGCAGACTCAGGCAGTTTGAGGGACAAGGGCATAAAATGAAAAGTGCACAATAAGGTTTTGATGCATTTGTGCATCTTAATTAAGGTTAGGATTAGTACCCTATAATGCACTTTATCATGTTTTAACTACCACTGTGGCATCCAAAATTTGCTGTGTTTTTACAGCAACCCTGGAGGTATGCTTTAGGACAGCAGCCTATGTTAATACTTGTTTGTAAAAAAAATTACTCTTACATGCGAATGTACCTCCTGAGCTGTACCACTAGACTATAGATGTAATTGATAAACAGTGTCCTACTTTGTTTTTAGTGGAAAGAATGTACTGCTGTTGTTGTAGTCTTAAAAGCAAATGTGCAAGGAAGACGTGGATGAGGAGAGGGATGTCTGGATTACTATGCTGCAGCCACAGCCTGATTATGGATGGTGCAGTGCTTTAAGAAGTTTCTATGGATGTTTTATTTTTATTTCTTTTTTTTCCATGAAACCTGGTCACGATTGTGAATCCATACTCTGTAGCAAACTTTTCAGACCCACCTTTCAAACCTACAGGGGGGTTTGATACTCAATTTGTGATCATTTTTTTAGTGAAATATTCCTTTAATCAAAGAATAATTTTCTAAATCAACACTAAGACATACAATAGGTGAAGTAAACCCAACTACTCAGAACTAACAGTTTGGTGATGTTTGCAGAGAGAAGTTGAAGGTTTTCCCATTCATTTCAATACAGTTTTCTTGGAGCATCATCTAGTGGACATGAGAGGAACTGCAGCCAATCACACTCGAGGTCAGGCTAGCACTAAGGTGTAGCTGCTTAGTCCATAGACCTATGTTTTGTCCTCTCTATAGCTGTGGTCCTAAAATTAAGTCTTGATGTCTAAAGTATCAGACACTTAATAATCAGACAGAGTCCAAGGAACATGATAATACACAGACAGGAGAAATGGAGGGATAGGAGGAGCAAGATATCTCCCAGCAGGCTGTTCTCCCTGGGGTCAGGCACAGGGATCACAGGCTGAAGTGGGGGAGGAGGATGGGGTGGAGCCTGAGGCATCTCGCAGTAAACACCTGTCCAGCCTTGGTAGCACTGGCAGGTGAACTTGTGCTTCATGTCCAGGATGTCATGGTTGTTGAGGTGACCACTGACATGGAAGCGAGGGCCCCTGGGTGTCGGGTTGCGGTGGATGTGGAAGAAGCGCGGGTTCAGGTGCAGGTAAGCGCCTGAGTCCAGGCTCTTGCGAACGCACCTGCCATTCTTCTTGCAAAGCGCTTTGCTGCAAAGCTTGGCAGCAGAGGTGACGTTGATGACATAATGTCCCAGCGGACCGTCGATGTACTTCTTTACTGTCAGGCAGTTCCTCTGGAGGACGCAGGATACAAAATACAGTGTCATTAGTCTGTAAAATTAAAGAATCTTGTAGTTGTTCATTTTTCAAATCATTAACTAGAAATCATCTCCTCTTTACATCTCTGCTGCGCATCTCCTACACCATACCATCAGGTTTTAGATTTCTTACCTTCCAGACATTGATTATTTTGTTCATAAACAGATACAAACAGAGATAAGGGACTGCTAAAGCAAGTATGATTAAAGATAGACATTTATAAACCATCCAAGTTTTACCTAAAACCTTAGCCTAGATTACATTGTGATAGGAAAACATGTATTTCATTCTTAGATAACATGTTCAGATACTTCATCTATAGAAAAAATATCTCCTTTGCTAAATAACCATGCACACCACTTCAGCATGTTAAGAACTCAACTGAACTTCAACTCAACTCAACTTCAAATAATGGTCTTATGACCGCAATTTTCCACGTTTTCTGTTGTGTCATAGTATGTTTGAAAATGTCTTTTTAGTGATAAATATATGACAGATAAGTAGCTGAGTGCTGTAAACAGCATGTAAGGCATTCCACACCAACAGAGACCCTTTTCACACATAAATCTGATGCTTTCTCATGATTTTTGAGTGTCACTATTTTTGGAAACATTAGATTCCCGAGGAGAGAATAATTTTATTTTTATTTTATTTTTTATTTATTGGTTTATTTTA